CCTCTTCAACTAACTAGGTTCGATCTCTTGATATTGGCTATTGATTTCCTTATAATAATCTTTATTGATTTATTTTTTCTATTGATTTATAAATTATTCTATAATGATTTGCATGAATTTAAGTAAATTTATATATTATTTATAATTATATTAAGTACCATAGTTGCAAGTATATGGTTGAGTATAGAATGTTTTTATACTTTATTAAATAATATAATAAGTATGTTATATAATTTATTACAGGAACATTTAACTTCAGAGGCTGTGCAGAAATATGGGGAAGACAGAACTGCATAGCCAATAATAGTTGATGCTCAACTATTATCTTAAGTTTCAGGAAGACCCTCCAAAGATGGGTGACTTTATGGAATGCCCATTTATATAGACCCTGAGAAGCAAGGCGTTTCACATCGAAAACGTCCTCCCCATACTATACCAGATAGTTCTGTTCAATTTTCTCAACTATAGTACAGTTGACATAGAGTATGACAGCACTACAAGATAGTCACCTAACACTGCAAGAAAAAGTTGATAGAATGGAAAGGATGTTTTGCATGATGCAGGGAGGAGGGGTTGGGCCAAGTGGGGGAGTATAATTAACTACTTTTTTCTAATTTGATCTTTGCGTCAAAAACATCTTTAATTATTCTATATGTATGGATATGTATGACAATTAATCTTTAACATGTATGTCACGCCCCAAACCCAAGAGCGAGACAGACGTCGTGCACTCGTGAACGGAGCCCACAAATGCACAAGGCTCAAAACCTACTGGGTTCTTACTTAGCAATTTAGGTAATTCAGATCTAAATCCTTTTATTTACCAAATATTTACCAGTCAGATGTACAAAATTTATAACTTCATATATACAATCGTGACTATAACTAAAGGAGTTCTGTACACAAAAATTCCTAAGTCAGCATGGGTGACTAGCAGCCTAGCTACAAAACTAAATCCAAAAAATGCCTAGCCGTCTAGCTCGTCACTCCCCCGAGCTTCCCACGCGTCGGGTCTCACTACCTGAAATGGTGGACAAGGAAACCGTGAGATAAATATCTCAATAAGTAAACATGAGTGCCCGAAATCAAAATTTAAAGCATGCCAAATAATCGGTTGAAACATAAACAGAGCGTTTCAATAACAAACCATTAATGCGAAATGAAATCACATAGTGGTCTCCTCTATTAGTCATGGCCAGTGTTATAAACCTCCCACTGGCAAGCACACGATTACTAGTGTATAATCCCACTTGTAGGATAACACGAGCAAACCGGTTATATCACTAACATGTCGACCTGTGCTAGCGTTTATAAACCTCCCACTAGCGGGCACACGATTAACACGACCACATCGTAGACAAAACCAAACAAGATTTACAAAAAACCACGATTCACAATCGTTCTCACTTTAAAAAATAAACCGAAGAATCTCATATGGGCATGCTCAATTCTAGAAAATAAGGAAAATAGTAAAAATTCAATTTCCCTTTTTAATCATGCTCAAATGCAAATAAATCCATTTAAACCTCGCCACCATCTCAAAAACAAGTTAAAATATGCTTTAAAATTTAAGTGCATTACCATAATTTACTTACCTTAATTGCACAGGACAGAAAGCCTAATCCAAGTGCTAAGGTCACAGGACGATCAAAGACCTAATCACAATATTTCTAAATTAATATCTATAAATAAATAAAATTTTTATTTCTTTATTTATTTTTATTTTTATTTTTCTATCCGAAAATTGGGGATTGGGTATTTATCTATGTATCTACAATTATATAATTACACATATACAATTTTCAAACGCATGGACAAGAATTTGGGAGAACCGGCCTTGACAAAAAAATGGTCAATTCACAGAATTCTCCGCTTTTTCTCTCGGACATCACACAACAACCAAACCCACTAATTTCCTACATAAATCATCAACCAAAACCCATTTTCAAATGGCCAAAACTCATCCCCCACCTCCGGCATCTTGTTTTTGGACAACCCAAACACCCACACAACCAATTAACTCACAAATCAGCACTTAATCCACCAATTTTCAGAGATTAGAGAAGCTAACTTACCAAAAATCCTCAACTAGCAAAGCTGGAGCTGGCGGTATGGGGAAGAGCCGGCGGGAAAAATTGGGGAGGCTTCCACGGGCCAGTAGAAATTGAAAGAAATAAAGATTAGGGTGAACCCACACACATCAAGGCTGAAAAAAGGAATTCATGGCTGATTTTTCCAGGAAAAACCGGAACTTCTACCCAGCACAGCCGGCGGCAGAGGGAGGGAAGAAATAGAGCAGATCCGGGATTCCTAGGTTGAGGGAGAGAGTTTTAAGCTTTAAATCTTGTTGTTTAACAAGAAAAGGGAAGGAATTTACCAAGATCTTACCAAGTTTTCAAGAGGGGTATGCGTCGGTGAAGGCTGGTGATGTCGGGCTACAGGGAGGAAGAACAGAGCAGACACGCGAAAGTGCTGGGGGGAAGAAAGAAAGAAAGAAGAAAAAGAAAAAGAAATGAGTCAGCCGGCCTTATCCAAAAAGATTTTTTTTTTACCCCTTGACTTTTGAAAATTGGTGATTAAGCTCAACAATATGATTTTCTCACAAATAGGTCCCTAGCTCACACTAATTTGTTCTTGAAATTTTGGAGTATTACAATCTATGCCTTAGAACATATAATATTGCAATTACTATATATATTAGAACATGCAATTGTTCCCTTATAATACATATTAGGTGAAGTTTTATAATTATGTGCCTAAACTCTAAAACATTTTAATTAGATTTAGATGTTCTAATATAAATGTAAAAGTAGGTAATAAAGAAAGAGTTTTTATTAGAGAGAGTTTTGATTATCATTTTTTAATATTATAATAATTTACTTAATTAATATATTTTGCTAAAAATTGAATATTTTAACTATTACATCATAAAAAGGTATCATAGACATTATAAGAATTCTTGATATACTTATCATGTATTTTTATTTATATAAGATTTAAAATTAAATTTTCAGTAAATTATAAAAAAAGATATGATAGACAAACAATAGTATAATTTTTAAAAAAAATTAAAATCATCATAAAGTAGCAAATATATCATTTAAATGAAAAATTGTAATTAAAGTTTCATTAGTTATTTGGAGGGAATAAAAATGAAAAAGAAGAATGCATGTGAGGTTAAAATTAAATTTAATGAAGGTTCGTGAAAATGTTAGGCTAAAATTAATTAATAAGGGGAGAAAATAACTAAAGTAAAATGATAAATTTATAAAATAAGGATAATTTTGACAGATGATCATAAAAGAGTATATTAAAAAAGTCTTATAAAAGTAGCACTCAATAAACTAACTTGAAATAATTTTTTTTTAATGCATATAGATTTTGATTTTTTTTATAATATGATTCATGTAATTAATCAAAATAAGAAGCGGGGTAAATATGAAACATTTTTTTCAGTCAACATATGACCGAAATATAAATCATTTCGGTCAACCATTTTGACCAAAATAAATGCTCTAAAGAGACCAAGCGAAAAAAGCAAAGGAAAAAGGCAAGGGGGGGAGTGGCTGTGTAATAGCCCAAAATTTCTAGAGCATTAAAGTGAGTTAGGAACCTAATTGTGAAGAAGTATTATTAATAAATTTAATAGCAAATATTTTCAAAGTTCAAGGACTTAAAAGAAAGGAAATTAGGATCAAGGCTGATATTTCTCTCCTCAGCCACGTGTTTTGCTCTTCCCGACTCTTCTCCCCCGATAAGCCCCCCAAGCCACTGACTCTCTCCCCCTTGAAAACCCAGTGAGATCTTGATGAAATTTCTCCTTCTTTCTTGCTTAATCACAAGATTTGGGGCTTAGAATTCTCTCCCTCAACCCAGAAATCCCGGATCTGCTCTGCTTCTTCCTCCCTTGTCCGTCGGGTTCTGCTGGGTTTGAATCCTTCGGCTTTTTCTGGTAAGAAGCAGCCTTGAATTCATCTTTTCAACTTTAATTTGGCTTGGGTTTACCTTGAATTGTGTTTTGGTTTTTGGATTGAGGTAGCCGTGAGTTTCCCTTGAATTTTCTGCACATGCCGCCGGCCTCCACCCCAAACCCGCCAGCTCCGACCTTGCTCATTGAATTCCGGTATGGACAGCTCCTCTAAGTCCAGATTTTACCCCTTTAATTGCTGCCTTGTGTGTGTCCAAAATTGTGCTGGAAGTGGGAGGGATTCCGGTAGCTTTTAGTAGCAATTAAATGTGTTTTAAGCTTGATTATGTAAAATTTAGCTTGAATTAGCTGCTGTGATGTTTTATGTGAGAAATCCCGTGTGTGTGTGAGTTGTGATTTGCCAAGTCATGCTCTTGTGTGATGTCCGAGAGAAAAGGGGAGAATCCCATGAATTGGTCATTTTCTGTCAAGGCCGGTTCTCCCAAATTCCTGTCCATTAGTTGAGAAATTGTATATCTGTAATTGTGTAATTGTGTATACATAGATATTAATTGGGAACATTGTGATTAGGTCCTTGATTGTCCTGTGGCCTTAGCACTGGGATTAGGCTTTCTGTCCTGTGTAATTAAGGTAAGTAAATTATGGTAAAGCCCCTTGATTTTAAAACATGTTTTAAATTGTTTTTGAGATGGTGGCAATGTTTAAATTGATTTTATCAGCATCTGAGTGTGATTTAACTGAAATGAAACTTGTGATGATTTTTATGAAATATTATTATTTTCTGGAATTGAGCATGATTGGAATAAAAATGAGAATTTCATTGTTTTCTGGAATTGAGCATGATTGGAATGAAAATGGGAATTTCATTGTTTTCTAGAATTAAGCATGCCCACATGAGATTCTTCGGTTTATTTTTGAAAGTGAGAATGATCGTGAATCGTGGTTTCTGTAAATCTTGCTTGGTTTTGTCTCCAATATGGTCGTGTAATCGTGACCCCGCTAGTGGGGGAGGTTACAAACGCTAGCACATGTCGACATGTTCGTGATAGAATCGGTTCGCTCGTGGCCCTACTAGTGGGGATTATACACTAGCACTCGTGGCCCTACTAGTGGGGATTATACACTAGTACTCGTGTGCCTGTCAGTGGGAGGTTTATAACACTGGCCATGACTAATAGAGGAGACCACTACATGATTTTACTTGCGTTAATAATTTGTTATTGAAACGCTCTGTTCATGTTTCAACCGATTATTTGGCATGCTTTAAACTTTGATGTCGGGTCCCCATGTTTACTTACTGAGATATTTTTATCTCACGGTTTCCTTGTCCACCATTTCAGGTAGTGAGACCCAACGCGTGGGAAGCCCAGGGGAGTGATGAGCTAGACGGCTAGGCACTTTTGGACTTAGGTTTTTGTAGCTAAGCCGTTAGTCACCCATGCTTGACATAGAAAATTTTGTGTACAAAATTTAGTGTTAGTCATGATTGTATATATGAAGTGATAAATTTTGTACATTCGACTGGTAACTATTTGGTAAATTAAAAGGCTTAAATCTGAATTGCTAAGTAAGAACTCAGTAGGTCTCGAGCCTTGTGCATTTGTGAGCCCCGCTCATGAGTGCACGGCGTCCGCCACGACCCCGGATTTGGGTTCTGGGGTGTGACAGGCTGGTTGTGTGTATTTCGGTGAGTATAACTGACCAAAATAAAAGAGCACCAAGCCGCTTGCAGAACACAAAAAATCGAGGTATTATTTTGGTCATTTTGCTTGACCGAAATAATCCCTGCAAAATCGACCCCCCGGTTCTTTTGGAAGGATCTGGGGTGGGGGACCATTATATGATGTTACTTCGATCAATCATTTTGACCGCAGAAACATCAGAAAATCAGATTCTGAGCCGATTTGACTTGAAGTAGGGGTCGGTTTTCACTTCAATTTTTTTCGATCAGTTTAATTGACGGAAAAAATGGTTTCTTTTTTGCCTTTTACTGTTTTGGTCAAAAGGTCTAATTAATATCAAAATTTTCATTTGATTTGCGTGAGGAATCTGATTTTTAGATTTGAAATCAGATTCTCTCATTTGTCATTGTTTCGTTTTTAGTGTTTTTATTTATTATAAATAGATATCATTTATCATAGAATTTTTACTACTTCTTACTCATATGGTGTTCTCTACTTTTTCTTACTCATACAGTGTTGTCTAAACTCTCTCAAGTCTTCGCTACAATGAAAGAGTAATTAAGAGTTGTTGCTACTTGTTGAGGCCAAAATTTGGTAGTTTTTGAGATTTTTGATCTAAGAAAGGTATGTATACCTACAATTTTCATCTTTTTTGTTTTTTGTTTCTTTTATAAGACCAAATTTTAATTAATTTTTTATAGTAATTTAATTTTAAGCACAATATTCAAGTGATTATTATTAATTATGTTTCACCATCTGGTGTTTGGATGTAGTATTCTATATTGGTATTTTGCGTTGAGGTTAGTTAAATTTAAAGTTTTAAATTTTAGAAAATATAATTTATATTTAATCATGAGATTTTAATGTAATTAAATTTTCTATTTGTTATTCTATCGTAATTTTCATTTCCATTAGTATGATTAATTGATTTTATTTCCACTTAGTCAAGGTATCTAAAATTTTCATTTATGTTACACTCAAATAATTAACTTCTCCTTCAATTTTTTGAATTAGAAGTAAGCCAAACTACAATAATGTTTCCCTAATGTTTTCCTTTATTTTTTTTATAAATTTAGTTTTGAAAGAAATAAAAAAATTTATGATTAAATAGATCAAATATTTTATAATAAAATAATAAATATTTTTAAGTCATTGATTGATAAATTATGATTACAAAATTATCTTAATGATTTATGTTTAATTAAATCATAATGACATATTTATTTGTTATGTAAATTAGGATTAATTTAATTAATTAATTGATTATAAAATTACTATGTGGTAAATGGACAGTCAAAATTGCTTTTTGAGCAAAAATGGACAATCAGGATTACTTTGAAAGCTATGTTTCGGACAGTCAACCTGATATTGACAGTCAACCAAACTTTGATATCCAAATGGATAGTCAACCATACTTTGACAGCCAAATGGATAGTCAACCATACTTTAACAGCCAAATGGACAGTCAACCATATTTTGACAGCCAAATGGACAGTTAACCATACTTTGACAGCCAAGATGTTGGCATAATTTCTTTTTCTTTTTCCCTCTCATAACTTTTTAATTCATGTTGGTACATATATACCATTTACTAACATATTACTTAATTTAATGTTAATTTACATAGGAATTGTTGAAGATACTACTAAATCATTATGGGATTGTCCATCTCGAATTCCTCCAAGGAAAAAGGTGACAAAAGCAAGGAATCTTATAGCAATGCCCCAAGACATTCCATTGCCTAAAAAAGAAGACAATGTTGTCTGTCAAATATTTGATATTCCTGGATATTTAGCTACTATATGCCCACAACGATATGCAGTAATTTGTCAACTGTGTAACCTTGAGGGTCATACTGCTAACCTTGAGGGTCATACTGTAAAAGTTTGCCAAAATCGTTACCTTCCATATGAAAGCATGTCAAACCCATCCAAGACATCTTCTGAGTCATCTCAAACTATTACAAAGATTTTAGGTAATGGTCATTTCCATATTAAATTTACCAAAAAGTCTTGGGATGAGGCATGTGAAAAATTACATTTTATTCAAGAACCGTAGTATCTTTACCTCACCTATGTTCTGCAACATATATATATCTTAATTTCCCTTATCCATGTATGAGATTAAACCATAACATTTTAACTAGTATTTTATGTCATGACACTTTAATTATAATATTAAGTTATCTTTTTTATATTTATGTGTTTTATTTATATGTTTTAATATTTTAACTATATAGTTAATTATATTATATTAATTATAAATTTAATCTAAAGAGTTTGAAACAAATTAAGTAAACATCAAAAAGCAGGAATTAGCCGGAGCAATGACAACATATTTAGGTCAAAAAGATTGACCGAAAGTGGGACCACACCATCCATTGACCTTCGCCTTCGCCCTCGATTAAGTTAGCAACCTTATTTCGGTCAATAAAACTGACTGAAATAAGGTGAAAAAAAAAAGAGGATATCCATTGCGTTTGGCAGAAAGAAAATTTTGGGATAATTTTGAATTTCCCTCCTCATAAAATTCGGTCAGAATTCTTGACCGAAATAATATCATTTTCCCACTGCTACCAAGTTCTTTTTTGGCGCTCAAGAAGTTGAATTTTTTTCCCCCTTTTATTTCGGTTAGTATTACTGTCCGAAGTAGTCCACTAAGTATGTCTATATATAGTGGCTCACTCTTTTCTTTCATTTCGGTAAGTTTTTATTTTGTTCTTTCTTCTTCTCCTCTTCTTCAATTCCTACATCCTCTTTTTATTTCGGTAAGCATTTCTCTTAATTTTAGTTTTTTGGTAAGTTTTTCATTACTTTATCTTAATATTCCTCTTTATTTCTTTAAGTTTAATTTATGTTCTTTCATTTTTTTTAATGTTAAACTAATTTTAATAACTTTTTTTTCTTTACCATATGTTAAACTAATTTCCTTTTTTTATGTTTAACATTTTATCAACTTATATATATATATATATATTTAATGTTTATACTAATGATTTGAATTTTTTTTTTTTTCAAAGGGTTACTAATTTGGTGGAGAATGGGCAACATTATGAAGGTAATTAATTTCATTATGAGTAATTAATATACACATTTTTTTAATTTACTCATATACATAGTTTTTCATTTCTTTTGGATTTATTTTGCGTGTTTTAATTAATATAATTTTATTTGTGATTCTATTTACAAATGTTTAATTTACATTATATTTTTGTATCATTATATTTATTATAATCATAATTAAAAAACCATGAAAGATTAAAAAATTAAATAAATAACAAATATGTATATAATTCATACTATTAATATTGAATTATTTTATTATAAAACGTTTTTCTAATATTTATTATGTATATTAAAATTAATTAACTCATTTGGTTTTCTTTTTTTTTTTCAAAACTGCATATATATTTCGGTCAAGCTACTTGACCGAAAATAAGTGAATTTCTCACCAAATTATTCTCCGCCTAAATTTGAAAATTTCTTCCACTATATTTCGGTCAAGCATATTGACTAAAATAACTTGGGATATTTCCAAAAAAAAGGCATGAAATTTCTACCAATATATTTCGGTCAAAAAAAAAAAAAAAAAAAAAAAAAAAAAAAAAATCTCTCAATTTTCATTTCGGTTGTTTTGCTAGTTTTATTTCGATTAGCTATTCACCCTGAAATAATTATATCGAATACCAAAAATAACCCTCCATTTAATTCGGTCAAGCTTGATGACCGAAATGTTCCATTAAAAAATTATTATTTTATTCAGTCAAATTATTTGTCCGAATGTGATAATTATTTAATGAATTTCTCACCTCCATTTTCGGTCAGTTATACTAACCGAATAAACAATTTATTTCGGTTAAGATAAAATTATGATCAAAATACTATTTCGTACAGAGGCTATTCGAACCAACAATTCGGTTAATGTGTTTGACCGAAGTATTACATCTTCGGTCATAAAATGCAGTATTTCGGTCAAAATTCTTGACCAAAATATAGCCTAATTCCAGTAGTGGTGGGATCACACATGCCAAGTTGGAAAATATATATTTTACAGTCAGCCTTATAGGTCCAGTTGGCATGCCACGTATTGAGGGGTAACAGATCACATCGGACGGTTATGTGAGAATTGACAGATGGTTAAGATTCCATCCAATTGAGTCTTTATTTGAGAGTTTGTAAAAGTTTAAGACCTTGATTAAGCACAATAAATATTAAGGACCTCAAATGAAATTTTACTAAAAGTTAAGGTCCTTTTTCAATACTTAAGCCTATGCGAAAAGCAACCATTTTAATACTAGTTGAAATGACCCAAATTAAAACTCGCTATTAATCTAACAACGTTTTGAGTCTAAATCTATGAACTCTCAAAAGTTTAAACTCAAGTTATTAGTTGTAATTGATTTTCATATTTATATATTAGACTCATTCACAAGTTTCCACCGATATGAAATTTGAGGCATTATAGTTCAATATAACCACAATTATAATTACAATTATAATACTCCACAATAATCTCAAACACACCCATAGCATTGTTGGCCAAAAATAAAAAATGGGAACAGATTACTATAAGCAAAAGTAAGGTCCTAGTGGAGATGATGCCACGTGAATATTCAACAACAAAATAATTACCAAAAAAATATTTCAACAAGAAGATAAATTGTTGAATATTCACGTGGCATCATCTCCACTAGAACCTTACTTTTGCTTATAGTAATCTGTTCCCATTTTTTATTTTTGGCCAACAATGCTATGGGTGTGTTTGAGATTATTGTGGAGTATTATAATTGTAATTATAATTGTGGTTATATTGAACTATAATGCCTCAAATTTCATATTATTAAATTTTTTAATTTATGGGAACGCCCAAAAGAGTGTAAGAAAAATAT